TAGAAAGACCGTAACGAGATAGAAGGTAAGGTGAAAAAAGTTTTTGAAAAGCTTAATTGGTTGCAGAGTTATTAAGCTTTAAGTTTTGAATTTCCCGCCATTTTGTTACTATTTTTAGAAACAAAGCCAAACTTTAAAATGCTATATCTCATCAACCAATTGAGCTTTTGCAAAAATGTTTTCACTTTTCGTTTTGTCCTGTTACGGTCTTTCAAAAAAAGGAATTTTAGGCACTATCAGTTAAAATTTAATTTTTTTGTTTATCTTGTGACGTAATTTTCCCGCCAAAAAAACGTTAAAGTTCAAAATTCTAAAACCATGGGTACCTAGAAAATTTCATGTTCTACAATCCTGCTAAGTTTCAGCTCAAACAGATAAAAACTGAAAGAGCAGTTTGGTAGTGGCGCGATTTGACCTCTTGCCCGCCCGGGGTGATATGAGAGAAAATTCACGAAGAGGACTTAAAACAAACACGAAGGGATCGGCCTGTTTGCAAGAAAAAAGCTTGGAAACTATAACAAATGTGAGTTTTCTACTTTCTTCCTGGTTCAATGGCCCAAAATGATTATTAGTGTTTTGGTTACATAGATGATAGTAGACTGCAATTTGGCTGTCAGAGTTGTTCTGTCGTTTTAGTTGTGCGCTGTAGATCAATTCAAAAATGCCCGATATTTTGCTCGTTTGCAGACACTGAATTTAGGTCAGATAAAATAAGAAAATTTTAGTCTTGTCCGTGGCTACTTAACAAATCTTATGGTTTTAGAAAGTAGTTCTGTGATGTGTTGTATCGCATACATAAAATAAACTTCGCTTGTTAAATTTTGGGGGTTCTGTGAGTTTCAGAAAATGGTGAAAATTTGCTTATAAAAATGGCGTCCGAGGGGGTCGAATAAAGTCACGCTCGTATCTCTAATACAAGAGCAGTGAAGAACCTATGTTTGGTATATTTGTCCATTACTCCACCAGACCTGTCTATGATGTAAGTATGAACTTATTCTGTTGACCCCCTTCCGTTGACATTTTTAACATTTTGCCCGGTTTTCTCTGACAACCACTCTTAAATCTACATAGAGTCTGTGGGTCGAGGCCAATCAGTGCATACATAGCCGGCCTTCCTACCGCCGGAACACGCTCCGCGCTCGTCGATCGGCTCAAAGAAGCAAGAAAAATGCGGCAAAATGCACAAGCTATTGGCGCCCCACCCCCTGTTCAAAATGGCCAAATAAATAAGGCCAAGGCCACTTCAATAACTAACATAGACGAGCGGACCTCGGCTTTTATAGCCTACATGAGTGTTATTACCAGCAAGCTCCAAAGTCGTGCTGCAGAATTGTTAGAATATCTTATACGCAGCTAAATATCACAGGGGCCTTGGGTGGTGTGTTTACTATGTCAAGTTTCGCCAAAAGGCTGCCGCTAATAAGTTTATTAACTGCTCGACCATAGACAGCCATATGAGAAGCCATATGAAGTACTTGGTTTTTTCCAGTCAGGACCCTCATCCATGCCAAGTACAGCTAGAGGGAACGAATATCAAACTTGCCACAACTTCAACAAGGGTTTGTCACGTGACACCACCCCCTGCCCCCGTGCACATCCCCTCCACAACCTGGCTTGTTGCACTTGTCACCCTGGGATCAGGTTCCCTATCCCCCGAATCGGATAAGCAGCCACCCCCACGGGCTGGGAATTCCAACAGTGAGCACCATAGCTCCCGTCACCGCAGCAAGTAATTTTGGGGTTGTAGTCACTCCAGTAAATGTCTTTAATCTACAATGCCACCCCGACAGAGTATTTGGTAATAAACTGTGCTTGGAACTGAGGGAAGGGGCTAGGATCGGCTACTCCGGTCCTAAGCAGTTTCGTTTTTCGAGGAATTTACCTACTGCCTCCCTTAATCGTGAGGTGGTCACTTCAAATTTAGCTGACGAAGTGGCAAAAGGGCGTATTGCGAGTCCCCTCCCTTCCCCCCATTTGAGAATTTCCAAGTTTCACCTATCGGCCTTGTTCCTAAAAAGCACTCGGACAAGTTTCGAACAATGTTCCATCTGCCCTTCCCCAAATCAGGGACCACAATCATAAACCATTTTATATATCGACAAGGATGATTTTTCCCTTCAATACATCACTATCGATAAAGCAATTTCAGCTATTCAAAGGGTCGGTTCTGACTGTTTCATGGCCAAAACTGACATAGAATCAGCATTTCGGCTCTTTCCCGTTCATCCCCATGATTGGAAACTTTTGGGCATGTCCTGGAATGGGTTTTACTATTTTGATGAAGTGCTCCCGTTTGGGCTCCGTTCGGCCCCACTTATTTTCAATCAGCTTTCTGACGCAATTGTGTGGATAATGCAAAACAAATGTGCAATCTCCTTCGTATGTCTTATCGTGAATGACTTCCTGATAATTGAACCTCCTGCCCCCACCGCACTTTCCAATTCCCTTTGCATGACAAGTCTATCTAACATGATCTTGGTCAAAAACCTTTTAAAACATCCCCATTTCAGTACCCAAAACGGAGGATCCCTGCAAAATTATGTCAAAGTTATGTCAAAGTCGTGGGAATTATTCTCGATTCAGCGGATTAAAACCTTCCTCAGCGAGTTGCGGTCTAAGTGATCAACAACTCCGCAAGAGCTTCAATCTCTGATTGGTACTCTAATATTTCGCATGTGAGTTGATTTCCCCGGGACGCCCCTTTTTGCAAAGAATGATTGGCCTTACCAGAGTTGTTAAAATACTCCATCAGCACATAAAGCTTACAACGTGTTTTTATAAAGATATTGAAATGTGGAGCTTATTCATTGACCAGTGGAATGGTATAGGTTTGTTCTCGTCTTCCCAGGCGGACACCTCTGAGACCCTCTCCCTCTTTACAGACTCCTCTAGCTCCATTGGTTATCGGAGATTTTTTCAAACTCGTTGGTTTCAGGGCAAGTGGTTACCCCACCAACATCTAGTATCTCCTGGCATAAGCATTCTTTAGCAAGAATTATTTGCTTTTATTGTCGCTTCCCACCTGGGGGTACCAGTGGACATCCAAGTGGATCAAGTTCCATTGCGACAATTTGGGTGTGGTAGAGGTCATTTGTGGGGATGAAGTGCTCCTCTCGTCACACTTTTGACCCTATAGACTCGACACTTTGTACTCCTGGGATGTACATATAGGTTAGTGAGGGCCCTAGGGTGGTCCACGATTTGTCAGAGCAGACCCCGAGGGGAGGCCCAGCTCCCTACCCTATATCGGTCTGTGCACCTTCCATTTTTACCCAGGAACGGTCACAATCGGCCCTGGGAGGAGACGCAACTCCCTCCTCCATACCGGTGTGTGTACCACCTTGGTGGCAGGTTTTCGTTAGCTCACAAAAATCCAGGAGTACATGGGGCTGACCTTTTAGTGGAGCACTTTGTCACCCACTTCCCCTTTTGAGCCACACCAAGTTGTTGTTTTGTTGTCGTTCAACATAATAATTTTGGGTCCCCAATTGTTATTTGTCAATAACAATCCAAACTGATTTTGGAGTATGCATTTCATATACAACCTTTCATTATACAGCGTTTATTTTAAAAACAAATGGATAATATATCAGTGAGATATATTAATCCTTGACTTGTTATTGATTAAAATCTTTGGGAATTCATTGCTTGCATTATGCTCTGTGTTTGTTTTTGTTTGAAACTAATTCTAAGAATATGCAGGTTCTGAATTATAGTCACACATACGGATAAAGCTGAAGATAAAAACAAGCTTAAAAAATACAACATAACTCAACTATGTATTTTATACATCATAGTCTCCCTTCTGTCTTGTCACGAAACGCTACTCCTTTTTTAAACTTTAATACAACCTTGAAGGCTATGTGATATCCTAAAATGAGATACAATAGATTATTTACTACCGTTACAACCCCTTGATCTTTCTTCATGGGCCGCACTTCACTTCCAATATGTAACCTCTAGTATATAGAACATAAATTGTAATTTACAACATTTGTAATGTGTAACTTAGATTATAATAATTTTTAATATATTGTACTTACTAATTTTTTAGTTATTTCACTTATTTTTGCACGCCCCTAATGAAAACCAGCTTATTTGATTTATGCTAGGGTGGATAGGTAAAGTTGTTCTTATCTTATCTTACCTCTTATCTGGAAAAGATGGACCGCTCGTAGTCGAGTAAAGTCGTATCTACTAACACTACTCTCGTGCCGTTACGATTTTAACAGACGTGTGCAGCTGAAGTGTGACGCGATCGCATTAATTCACGGTTAACGAGTTCTGCAGCAATTATGCGATGAATCTGATTAGCAAGGTACGACTCCTTTGCTCCCCGTGCCAAACTGCGGCATCATTTGAAAGGTGGTCATTTGGTCATCTTTGGCATAAATGCACTCTCGGATCGAAGCTGCTGGAAACAGAGCAGCCTCTAAACAAAACGCACTGTTGTGTGAAGTGTACACTTAATTGAATAAAAACAATAAGCATCTCCCAGTACTACATTTTTCAGACTCTTGTCTACCAAAAGTCATTGTTTTAAAGGAAACATTTTCCCTATATCCTAAAGCTAAAAGCCGAGCTCTATAGAGTCGCTGTTTTTATCTGCTATATTATCAGCACTCATTTTCGCCCTTTTTGTAACAAATGAAGCCAAGATTACGAACTCATTGATCATTTGAAGAGTTTATCAACAATTTGTTTGGTTTATGATCAATACGACTCGTCAACCATTAGAGACTGATATTGGCCTACTGGGCCGTGCGCCTTGGCAAGCTTAATAGTACAGGGTTGAAACTACGAAACAATGGTCAATAAACTAAAATATCAGAGAACGATCTCAACCAGTCGACCGGTTAAAAAAATTGGCACAGACATATTGAACAACAAACCTCGTGTACTTTCAGAAACGTTTGGTTAAAATATAGCGAAGTTCCGGGCTTGAGGAAGTGTCAAAAAATGTTGCAGTGAGATGGTTTAGCAGGATTTGGTGGAGGAGGCGGAGGTGGAGCAGGCGGTGGTGGAGGTTCAGTGGCGGGCGAAATGGAATAGTTAACATTGTAGCAAGCGACTCCTTTCCAAACGCCCCTTATTGATCTGCGTTGGCCACCAAAGTCGAACACTAGCTCGTAAGGAACCTCCATTTCAGCTTCCTGTACCATCGCTTTAGCAATATATGTATGATGGGCAGGAACGGTCACAGGGAATTCGTACGATTTCGTTATGGCTCTGCTTATACATTGTTGAAAAGAATGGTTGTCTGAGAAGTCAAAAAAGAGTTGACAATTAATCTCGGCTACACCCGGGAAGCCGGCACTAAAATCCGCCCCGATGCCATAACTGAAGTTGACAGTGTGAGTAGCGGATCTTGTTTCTCTTTCAGTTACTGAAAATGAGAACGTCATTGTTTGCTCTAAATCACCGTCGTTTTTAAATTCCCCTTCAGAAATGACCATTGACCGTTGTGATAAGATGCTCCCCTCGTTCCTGAAGAAGTTCATTTTGACCAGTTTGACGTAACCATGTATTCTTTCAAAATCCGCTTCCAGTTGAGCGATTATCCGCATTTTCTCGTCTTCAGAGCCAAAAACTGAGTACGCGGCCAACCAGGCAGCTGATAGTCCCACCTTTTTAATGTTATTCGCTAAATTTACTGTTATCTCTCGTTTACCGATGACATCCTGGCAATAGTTTTCCATTCTTTGCTTATCACTCTCAACTTCGGTGTTATATTTTTGGCGATTCCAAGGCATTCGGAATTGCTCTCCTTTCTTCATCTTTGCTGAATAGGATCCGGCACACTTGAGCATCGACTTGATATCTTTACAAGTTGGTTCTGATAGAAACCCTGCGCATTTTTCCTTGAAGGAGTTGTAGTGATGTTTAGCTTCGCTCGTTCCATCTGGTTCGTCTAATCTAGGTCTGCGTCTTTTTAGCTCTTTAGCTAAGTGAAGACACCGTTTTTCAGCGAACTCTCTTAATTCCTTTGCAGCCTCCGTTGGAAGTATATTCAGGGGTTCATTGCTATGAACGCCAGACGTTGACATAGCCGCGATAAGGAATCGATCAACTAATGATGCCCCAGCTGCGAAGTTGAAACCTTTTCGGATCGAAGCGAACGAAAGCGGAACGTAATCTCTTAGGGTGCATATGAGATTAATGTTAATGAAGCTTTCACTGGCTTATATTTGACTGCCCGTTACAGGCCGTCAAGTATATCACCTGGTGTGGCCTGTTTCAGAGCTCATCAGTCAAGGTTCTTCTTGAATGCCTTTAAAGTCTTTGTGACGTCAATTCAAAACATACATGCCTTGAAGATAAATTACAGACAATGCAAGACCGTCTGTACAAGGTTTCAATTTCCTTTCTATTAGACTACGAATACTCCCTCATTTTTCATCAAGGATAGTAGAGGGAGCAAAACGCGAGCGCGAGGGAAAATCACTCCATGCGAGAAAGGCGAGACGCAGCGGGGTGTGACACGCACGCTCGCGTTTTGCTCCCTCTACTGTCTCTGAGGAAAATTGAGGGACTACCTGTAGTCTACCTTTCTATCAATAGTGTCGAAAACAAAGACCTAGTATCTTAATTATCCATCGACCAATATCTCTATTTAACAAGAAAAATGTGTAGGACAGCTGTTCGGTAAGACTGCAAACTTGGCCGGTCTTCGAGAAAACACAAGCCCCCAAATTAAAAGTAATATAAAGCAAGACAATAACAATACCATTAGTTAATGAGCTTACTGTTGTCATTAGAACGAACTACAGGACCTACAGGAACTACTCTAAATGACATGAACTTCGTCAAACCACACCAAACAAGAGCAACTGCAGCACTGACCTACTGGCCAAGTATATCAGGTACACCAAAGTACACCAACGTAAGGCCAATCTACACCAACCTGCCACTGAGCTATATCAACTACACCAACTGATTACACCGAACTACATCAAACTAATAAAGGATTAAATTAACTGCAAAAACCGTGGACGAAGATCCTGCTAGTTGTAAACGTTGGATCTCTAGGAAAGAGTTCAAATCAGCCAAAATATAAAGAACTAAGAACGAGAAGTCCAAAGACTACTGCAAAGCTGATTTAAAACAACGTATATTGTTTTTTATAACAATATTTCGGCTGGCCATACCAGCCTTCTTCAGGTTTACAGATGTTACTAAACTTATGTAGCAATCACAATATTATATAGATGGAGAATGTCACAATAAAAGGGTGAGGCGGAAATGACGTACAACATAAAAACGGAAAGGGGAAATACTAAGGATGTGGATTACAATAATTCGTCTCGGCGGTTTAGGCCATGAGGTTCAAGAGTCATGGCCTTATCAATCAAATGCGACTCCCTGGCCTTACGAACTAAGTCACGTGAAGAATGAATTTTCTCTAGTGGGATTAACTGCATGTCAGTATGATAATGGTTAGAGTGAGAGAGAAAGTGTTCAGAAACAGTAGTGGGTTTAGATTTAATGTTAGTTTTGTCGACTGCACGTCTGTGTTCGTTAAATCTGTCCTTGAGACGTCGCTTAGTTTCACCTATATATTGTAAATTACAACGATTATATTGGGCCATGTGGATCACATCTTTAGTGTTACAAGTAATGTGTGAAGTGATGGAGCGTGTTTCACCTGTAGCGTAAAAGGTATAACTTGTGAGGCCGTTAGTAATGTATGGACAAGTGGCACAATTCTGTCCACAACGGAAGGAGCCTGGCGGAAAATGATTGGTGGAGATAACGGGTAGCTGTGCTTTAACTAAAAGGTCACGAAGATTAGAGCTACGTCTGTAAGCAACAAAAGGCGGTTGCTTTGCAGTAGTCTTTGGACTTCTCGTTCTTACATCAAACAACACCGAATCAAACCAAACTACACCAACTACATGAAACTGCACCGACTACATCCCTGGCTACACCAATCAGTCCATACCATTCAGGACACCGAGCCACACCAAAGTGCACGCATTAAACATAGGGCGCAGAGGAGTTATTTGTGGGCTTGATTGTTGATTGTACTTAATTTTTACGGTTAATACCTAGCATCGCCTTAGTTTTAGTACTGTAGAATCGAGCAAACCGTCACTCGATTGTCTAATAAACCTGGTAAAATATTTAAAATACTTCATATAATCTGAACTAGTTATGACGTAACAGCCATAATAACCCTATAAGGCTACGTGCAAACGGACGCAACAACTCCCAACATTGTTGAGCCAAGAATGTTGGGAGTTGTTGCGTGCGTGTTGGCAGTGGTGTGCAACCGGATGCAACAACTCCCAACAATGTTGAGACCTGCAGTGCATCGTGGGAAGGGTACAACCCATAAGTCTTTGTAAACCATGCGTAATGAGCGTGCGTGGCCTCAACAATGTTGGAAGAGCTGTGCAAACGGATCCAACATGGTTGCGCTACGCTTCGGCGATCACGGAACCAAAGAAATGTTGGGAGTTGTTGGCTGAAAAGTTTGACCGGTTTCAAACTTTGCGCAACAACACCCAACAACATGCAACAGGGTCTGCAAACGGATGCAACATGTAACATTCGACAATGTTGGGAGTTATTGGCCAACAATGTTGCGTCCGTTTGCACGGGGCTTAAGCTATGGATTAGTTTTGTTACCACTGACATGAACGGGGACCAAAGCGTTAGAACAGATATGTTAGGAATGTGTAACTATTTAGGCATGTTTGGGATGTGCAACTATGTGCATAAAATCGGGAAGACTTTTCGGCTAGGCTTGAGGAGATTTTCCCAGCCACAGTCACTCCTTCCCAGCTGTATACTAATATTAATTTAATGTTATTTAGCCATTTATTATGTTTTTTTATTCTACTTGTTGTAATTTATTCTCTGTGGTACAATAATAAAATGATAATAATAAAATAAGTTTTAGGATTTTCGATCAAAATAATAGGATTCGATCGAAGGACCTAAGAAATAACCGTAACCAATTTGAATTGGAAGGTGAAAGATCGCGACGAAGGGAAAGCAACCTTCAAAATTTCTGCGAGTTGTAATTTAACCTTTTTAAAGATAATTCTCAAGAGCAATTTGTGAGTTATAATTTAACCTTTTAAGATGATTATCAAGAGCAACAGATGATTGCATTTGGGGAATCCATTTTGGTTTTAAGCTATCTTATCTCATTTTTTATTCTATTCTTCTAAGCGTATTGTTCTTATTCTACACTAACCAGGTGCAAAACGTATTGAAACAGTCGACACTTGAAAGGACAGTTAGCTATAAGGCCAGTCTGTCGAAAAAGGTAAACAAACTGGAGCCTATTTAGGCTCCTGATACAAACGAATTTCAAACAAATATATTCAATTCATTGAACAAGCAAATAATCATCACTCTAGAAATGTCAAGTCTACATTGAGCAAATCTCTGATCTAAGAACACAATTCAAGCCAGCTGGATTATTTCAGAATACACGCCTCTCATCATGTGACCCAAGAGTTAGGGGTAAAGGATGGCATCACGAAAGGCAAAAGCAAAGCGCCGGCTACTCAGAGCCGATGAAGAGATAGTAGATGAAGAGCCTATTCACAGAAACAGATCAATGAAACTCAAACAAACTCTTTTTCTCATACTCTTTGAAAAAAGGAAAAAAAGGCATTCCAGCAAGGGCAACAGGGCACCGACCAAACTAACTCTTTCCATTATGCCTACATTTTTCAATGATAATTCGCACTAGACACAAATTCACCACCAGTTTGGCTGCCGCTCAATAAGTATGACCCCTGGAGACTAGTTTTTAAAGCCAAAGACTTGTTATAGCCAAGAACAAAGCGCACAATATCCATAACCTTTTCTTCTCAACCCTGGATCAAACGGTCAGATATAGGACGGGGCCACATGAGGACTGTGCCAATCGCCAGCCTTTTTTCCTTCACGGGACTTAATGATGTCTTCGGTAAAACTTAGTTCGAGGCGGCCAAAGTCAAAACTTAAGACACTAAACAGCATTCAAATTGAATATTTCGTGCACTGATTTCAAACTGAACTGTCATTTGTCTCAGAGAGGGAATTATGGGTAGGGACGGAAAAAGACCCAGTGGTGGTGCGCGAGGAGGGGGGGTTCACTGCAGCAACTTTCACACTAATCTATAACCACGCAGCAACAAAAAAAGAAGGAACAACAAAGAACACTATTAATAATCCAAGAAGGTGGGAGATGTGAAAAATTACAAAATTTCTGCTAACCCGGTTTTCAAAAATCCAAGTAGATGTATAAAGGGAATAAATTAAACTGATAATTCGGAAAAATCATTAAAAAAAAAACTAGATAACACTAGAAAAATGCACTAAATAAACTGATAATCGCGAGGAGAGTAATAAGACGATCAATAAAAAAACACACACTAATCACAAGCAAATCACCATCGGCTCCTCTCCTAATCACTGAACGCAGCAACAATCTGAGGCTACTCATGGTGTCACTTTTGCTAATAGTCCCGACTAACTGGGATACTCATATTTTATCAAGGTTTTTAGTTTTCATTTTTACATTTTTTTAAAACCTTTACGATTTTTAGTGCGTCGAATGTGTCAACAAAGACGTGATGTCTTCTTCTGATACAGCAAGTAGCAGACTTTATTATATCTCTTACTACGCGCGCTGTGATTGGTCAATTTTGCGGGACGTATTCTAATGCAAGGGCCGCTAAATTTTAGAATTTCCTTCCCTCGCGGCCGATTAACCTCAGAGATATAATAAATATCTTACTAACCTCGTTTTTCTCGGTCCGTACTGTAAGTTACGGATCAACGAGAAAAAACGAGGATCCGTAACTTACAGTACGGACCGAGAAAAACGAGGTTAGTAAGAAGTATTTACATACTTATATGTTATGTAAGTACTACAAGTATTCACCTAATCAGTTGGATATGCTTTTCCAAAGATTGATTGATTCGATTTTCACTTGCGCCATAGAAGTCTGGGGATATGCACCTGTAGTAGATAAAATCCGTTCTCAGTTAGACTGGTATTCAGCCGGTATTCAATTTGATTCAGAAATCCTCTGTCCTCTTATTAAACCCTAATTATTCATAAGAGACAAAGGAAATTCAAGTTTCACCTGAGAACAGATTT